GTTTGTTTCTCAAATAGAACAAAGTGTAAGAAAAGGAAAAAGAGGGCCTGCCAAATGACAAACACCTACCTCTTCAAGTCCTTGACAAGCCTCGAGATCGAAGAAAGAGAAAGAGATCACGCAGGTCAAGTCCACATTCATGCTTTCAAGCCTTTCATCAATCAATCAACAACGGTTACAATAAGGCAATTCACATCATCATGATCAACAAATTGCCTTTTTCATTTCAACCCCTTATTATTCGTTTAGATGTATCAAGTGGACAATTTAAACCCTTCATCTAAGCACCATCACTCCCAACACACAATCAACGACGAAAGCATACGAATTCAACTAGAATACAAGGTTTAGGAAGCCACTTGCCTTAAACCAATCAACAATGACTCCAATAGTTGAGTCTTCCCCTTCCGAATCACTTCCAAAGCCACACAATCTATGCACAAGCAAGTATTCAAATAAATTTTCAGAAACAACAATACCCACATCAATCCTCTTGAAAGGTGGGTCAATTAACTCAAAACCCCATTCAAAAATCAATGTTTGAATTTGAAATTAATACTTGAAATGATGTTGAAGGCTTTATAAGCTCATTACAGAAAATTATTTCGAAAAAGAGATCAAAATTACTTGAAAATCACTATTTAAGCTAAGAACTTGGGTTCTTGAAACCTTGCCATAAGACTACCCAAATATCACATTTGGATGTTAAAACGCTTAATTAATCAATGGAAAATGAAGGTTTAGGATCAAGAACACTTACCCAAATGATCTGGCATAGAAAATCCTTTCAATATTTCCACCAAGGGTCCCCAAAGCTCAAAAATGGTGAAATGGGCTTAAACCCCAAAAATGGCCACGAACCCCCCCCCCTCCCCCCTCATATGTCATTTAAGCGCCAAGGGTTTGCGAGTGCCATCAAGTCTATTTCTGGTTGTGACAAAATGGTATCAGAGCACAAGTTCATAGGTCTCACGTGTATACAAGTTGAGTCTACATAGATTCTCAAGGATCGGTACAGAGACGTCTGCACCTATCTCTGAGAGGTTATGAAGACTATTAGGAAACTTACTTTTTGTTCATTCTTTCTCACTGTGTGTGGTTACCTTCTTTAGTACTAAGCTATCATATGTTTTTCTGATAGAAAGAAAGGACTAGAGTTATTGTTACCGGTGGTAGATGGGAGGTAGTTTCTGAGACAGTCATTGAGGCCCCATCTAGGGGTAGAGGTAGAGTCTGAGCTAGAGGCTATATTTGTGGAACGACACTAGCCAGAGGTCATGTCCATTGAGCAGCACATGCAAGGGGTCATACTAGAGATGTCTCTCTAGAACCTCATATTGATGACAAAGAGAATCAAGTTCCTTCAGATCCCGCATCCACACCTTTTCTTCAAGATACCTTAATAAGGGTTTTGAATGTGCTCGAAAGCTTTTCAAAGGGTTGTGGTGCAACCGGCACACCACAACTCTAAGACTATAGTGGGGACTCAAACCCAAGAGCAATAGTAAGCCCTAGTTATTCAGGACCCGGTGAGGCAGCCACCAGTGGATCCCATGGTTGGGAATGATCTTGCACCAGAAGTTAGGGGTCAAGTTGCACCGTCGGTTGTTCTTATAGAGGATGAGCAACATGGGTATGGGAAATTTTGAAAGATGGACCCACCTCAATTTCAGGATGGAAAGATCAAGGATGCTAATGAGTTTCTGAATATATGTTGAGAGTTTCTAGAGGTGGTTGGGTTAGCTAAGTCATATGGGGTTCGATATGCTACCCTTCAACTTTGTGTGCCAGCAAGAGAATGGTGGAGAGATCAATTAAGGTCTTTTCCAATTGGATCTCCTCTACTGACATGGGAGTTACTTTCCAGTGCCTTTCATGACCGCTTCATCCCTTAGAGAATAATAGAGGATAGTCATTTTAGGTTTGAGAATTTGAGACAGGATTGTTTATCTGTTATAGAGTATGATGCCCATTTTTGCTAGTTGTCTAGGCATCCTTTAGCCATTATTCCAGATGAGATGGAGAGGATCTGTAGATTTGTGAGGGGATAACTTTCTCTATAAGATCGGCTGTGTTTAGGGCATCTCGAGAAGGGGCTTCCATCCAGTCCATTGGGAGTGTCGCCAAAGAGGTAGAATTGATGGAGAGAGATGAGTTTGGGGACCTTAAGAAGGCCCGTACATTAGGTTAGTTTCATGGTGCCTCATCTTGAGGCAGGGAATCACACAGAGGGAATTGTTCCTTTCAGCATCGGGGACCCATGCCCATTCTTGCATCTATGCTGACATATGAGGGTGGTTAGATACCTCGGGATTCTTATAGCATGGGTCAGGGCTCATACGATTCAGAGCATCGACCTACAACATGAGGCAATTATAGTGGGTTTTTAGGATCTGCACAGCAGTTCTCGAGTAAGATGTTTTGCTTTAGTTGTAGAGATCCCGATCACCTAATGCGACAGTGTACTTTCTGAAGGAGTCGTGAAAGACCCTAACCTACTTCTTCATTTCAGAATAGACCACCAGTACCACAGGGTAGAGGCCTAGGCAGAGTTCAATTAGGTAGAGGTGGTACAGCTTATGGTAGTGGTACTGTAGCTCAGTAGAGTGGGGTAGAGGTACCACCCAAGCTAGAGGTGGCATAGGGGGACATTGTTTGCTTTCCTAGGGAGACTCAAGGCAGAGACTTTTGATGATATTATTAAAGTTATCATCCTAGTATTCCATCGATCTGGTCTGTATTTATTTGATCCGACATCTACATTCTCTTATGTTTCTACCTATTTTTCTACTGAGTTTGATATGATGTGTGATATCATGCATGTACCTATTTATGTTTCTACACCCATGGGTGATCCCTTAGTGGTGGATCGAGTGTATCGATCATGTCTTGTTCCTTTGGCAGAGTATGGCACTTGGCTAGACTTAATCATTCTGGGATGGTAGACTTTGATGTTATCTTGGGTATGAATTACTTTCTCCTTATCACGCCATTCTTGATTGTAACGCTAAGATTGTGTCCTTAGCGATGACTGGTGTTCCAAGGTTTAAGTAGAATGGTACTAGTGGTTCTTATCCTAACAAGGTCGTCTCCTTCATACGTGCTCATAAATTGGTGGAGAGAGGGTGTTTGTTTAACTTAGCCTTCATTCGGGACACTAGTATTGAACCACGAGTCGTGGATACCATTCCTATGGTTTTGGAGTTTCTCAATTTATCCCTTTTTTATCTTCTAGGTGTTTCTCCCGATAGGGATATTGATTTTTCTATTGATTTAGAGTCGGGTACTAAACCCATTTCTCTTACTCCTTACCGTATGACTCCAACAGAGTTGAAAGAGTCGAAGGAACAGTTGTAGGCTTTGTTGAGTAAGGGGTTTATTCACCCTAGCGTATCCATTTACGGTGCCCCTGTGTTGGTTGTGAAGAAGAAGGATGGGACTATGAGGATGTGTATTGATTACAGATATGTGAACAAGGTAACAGTAAAAAAGAAGTATCCTCTCTCGCGTATTGATGACTTATTTGATCGGCTACAAGGAGCATCGTTGTTCTTTAAGATTGATTTGAGGTCTGGGTATCAACTGTTGAATAATAGAGACAACTTGTTGGACTCGGTATGGGCATTATGAGTTCCTAGTGATGTCATTTGGGTTGACTAACACCCATACAACATTCGTGCAGTTGATGAATGGGCTATTTCGACCATACCATGATTCTTTTGTGATTGTCTTCATCGATGATATTTTGGTTTACTTTAGGATTGAGGAGGACCATGTTCGATACTTGAGGATTGGACTTCAGAGGTTGAGGGAAGAGAAGTTGTATGCCAAGTTCTCAAAGTGTATATTTTGGCTTATTTCTGTGGTATTTGTGGGACACCTGGTGTCTAAGGAGGGCATTAGAGTAGATCCGGCCAAGATTAAGGCAGTTAGAGGTTGGACGCGACATATTTTTTCTAGCAGAGATTCAAAGTTTTGTAGGATTGGCGGGATATTACCGATTATTTGTTCAGAGTTTCTCTACTATTGAACCTTCATTGACGAAATTGACTCGACAGGGTATGGGTTTCTAATGGTCTAATGAGTGTGAGTTGAGCTTTCAAAAGCTCAAGACTTTGTTGACTTCGGCTCCTATATTGACTCTACCAGAGGAAGGTGTGGAATTTATTGTGTACTTTGATGCTTCAAGAGTCGGGCTTGGTGGTGTATTGATGCAAAAGGGGAAGATGATTGCTTATTCTTCTAGGCAGTTGAAGACACATGAGAAGAACTACCCAACTCATGATTTAGAGTTGGTGATCGTGGTCTTTGTACTTAAGTTATGGCATCACTATTTGTATGGGGTGCATTGGGAGATCTTCACTGATCATCAGAGTCTTCAGTACATCTTCAGTCAGAGGGATTTGAACTTGAGGCAGCGTAGATGACTTGAGTTGCTTAAGGACTATGATGTAACCATTCTATATCATCTGGGGAAGGCCAATGCGGTGAAAGTAATTTCATCCAGGTAAATCATACTTTTTTATGGAAACTCAAACATACCAGCCCTACTCCTACTCATCAAATTAAATGCTTAAGGAAATAAAAGAACTAAATGTCAAAATTTACCCTCTTTGCTCCTACTCATAAAAATAAATTAAATAAAATATAAATTTTACTTTCTTAGCTCCTACTCATCAAATTAAATGCTTAAGAAAATATCGCAAGAACTAATATTTGATATTTATCATTTTGACTCCTACTCATCAAATTAATTAAAGTTTAGAATTTATCCTCGTGACTCCTACTCATCAAGTTAAATAAAATAAAATGTTGTAAGCAATTAAGAGAAATTACTTATCCTCCTGGATCCTACTCATCAAGAGATAATCTATCACCATAATCTTGACAATTTTTCTATATATTCAAATTTATTCACTCTCCCTTTGCTTCCAATCCTCTCTGTCTTTTTTTTTCTCTAAAGAAATCAAAAATTAATTGACAGATTGTCTAGACTAGTGATGGACTGCAACAAAGAAAAGGCTATCAAGGCTAAAGGCGTTGCTGAAGAAATTATGGGAAATAATAGAAAGAGGGCATCAACAAAATCAAGTGAAAATTGGGCAATATCTGATCATTTGGCTGGGCAGAATCTCCAGTGTCTCAATGAGGAAAATCGGCTAAGATCTACGCGGCGTAGACATCGTATCAATTACTGTGATAATCTAAGTGATGATGAAGATTCTTCTAAGCGATTTAAGGGGGTTGGATATCCTTCTCCTACTAAGGAGTCTGAGATGCAACATTTGTCTCATGCAGCAACTCCTAATGGAGAGAGAAAGAAACTAAAAGATTGTTTGTCCTATGAAGAGAGCTTCCATAACACAAAGATGGAAATTGAGACTACAAATGGAAGTGTTGATGTATGGCTTTGTACAATGACTGAGTCAAAATCATTTGAATATCCAGATCCAGATTTTAGCGATTTTGACAAGGACAAGAACGAGTCCTGCTTTAAGGTTGGGCAAGTATGGGCTGTTTATGATACCTTGGATGGCATGCCTAGATTTTATGGCATCATCAGGGAGATTTTGTCTCCGGAATTTAAATTGTGCATAACATGGTTAGAGCCGCTGAATGAAACCAAATGGCTATATGAGGGCTTTGTACCTTCTTATGGTAGGTTCAAAATAGAAAACTTAGACCACATTGAAGATCATCTTATGTTCTCACATTTAGTATGTGCAACAAATGGAAACAACAATGATGCAATAAAGATATTTCCATTGAAAGGAGAAACTTGGGCCCTCTTAAAAGATTGGGGCAATAAAAATCTCAACTATGAATTTGTTGAGATCTTGTCAAACTATAATGAATCTATTGGTGTGCATGTTCCATACATGGATAAAACAAAAGGCTTCATGTGTCTTTTCCATAGGGTAGGAGACCTATTTCTAGTTCCAGCAAAGGGTATGTTTAGATTCTCTCATCGAATTCCTTCTATGAAGAAGACAGGGATGGAGAAGGATGATGTTCCTGAAGGATCCTTTGAACTAGACCCTACCTCCTTACCTATATACCAAGTAGTTGTTTCTGCTTCATCCATAGACCAAAGTGCGATAGCTAATTTCATGGACTCTGTAAATTCTGCTGAAAATTGGGTTGCACCAATACCTAATCAGGTTCCTAAACCTGAGTTTTACAAATTTGTTGTTGAGAGATCACCAGAGAAATTTAAAATTGGTCAATGTTGGGCAATATACAGCGATGAAGATGCCTTGCCCCGGTACTATGGGCTGATAAAAAAGATAGATCTTCTCCCTCAGTTTGTGTTGCATGTGGCATGGTTTTATGCGTGTCCACTCCCTAAAAGTACAATACAAGGGCATGATAAAACAATGTCAATTGGTTGTGGATTGTTTAAGTTTTTAAATAGTAAGCTAAACAAATATACTGTAACCAACAACTTTTCACATGTAGTAGTTGCAGAACCTTTGAAAAAGGGTGTACACAAGATCTTTCCCAAAACAGGTGAAGTTTGGCCATTATACAAAAACTGGAGTGCTCAGCTGATGAAAGGTAATAATCTAAAAGATTTTGATTATGAGATTGTTGAAATAGTGGATGTTTCCGATAATTATGTAGATGTAAAGTTCTTAGTGTGGGTAAAAAGGCTTCAAGTCTGTCTACAAGGCTCGATGGAAGAAGAAGAGGCTGACAAAGGAGTGAAAATATATGTATCAGAGCATCTCAGGTTTTCTCATCGAATTCCTGCTTTTCGCCTAACAGAAGAGAGAGGTGGCAGCTTGCGAGGTTTCTGGGAGCTTGATCCAGCAGGATTGCCTCTGTGTTTACTATGTACTGATTGAAGCATCAAACTTTTATTTTCTTTATGTTATACCAAAATGGAAGCGTTCTTGTGGATTTCTTAAACTTAATTATGTCTAAAAAAAAGTGTGATTTCAAATCTATTATTAAGAATATATTTTACTAAAGAGTGTTTAATAAGTTTAGATTTTTAATACAATCCATATTTGCTTATACTTCTCCTATTAATGATTGTGAGTTGGTAATTCAATCATTACCAAGTACGTCACATCCTCCCAAAGGAATAATTCACAATTCCTCAGTGGGGTATGTCCTTCATCTTCCAAGAAAACTCTTGGCAATGTGAAGTGCACATGACATAGTTTCTGTCAGCAACTGTCACTCTTACTGGAGGACAATAACTCACTTCTTGACCAGTCTCTTTAACATTACCCTCATCCATGAATTTGTATGTGCTTCCAGAGTCTATGAGTACGGCCAGGTTCCTATTCTTCACGGTCCCTTGACCAAAATAGTGTTTACCCTCGTATGGCTGCCTGAGAGTGCACTTAGACACACAACTTCTTGCATCGCTTGTTCTATATCATTGAATATCCTCAACTTCTGCATTAGCCTCTTCTACTACCTAATTAGGTTCAAGTTCTCCTATTCGACAGTTCAGTTGTTTCCTCTTGCATTGATGGCCAGGTCTATCTAAAAACAATTGATTGTTCCTCCTGTATTCATAAATATCAAGGCTCAACTTGTAAGTAGTAGGCCTAGTTGTTAGCATACTATTGCTCTTAACAACAACTGCATTTCCAATAGGTTTGAAGGTATTTTTGTTCTTCTACAAGGTAGCCTCAATAGCCCTCTCTTGCATTCTAGCTTGCTCAATAGAAAATCTAAAAGATTTGAGCTTAAAAATCTTTACATCAAACCTTATATTTTCTTTTAAACCCTCCATAAAACTGGAAACAAAATGAGACTCAACAAGATGTTGATTTCTCACCAACATCTGAGCCTTTAATCTTCAAATTTTCCTAGAAACATATCCACAGATTCAGTCTGTTCGAGCCATTTAAATTCCTCCATTATATCATCTAAGTGTTCCGCATCAAATCTATCACATAACTCCTCTTTGAAATCGGTCCAAGTCACCACACCCCTACTCAAAACTAATGAATGGTACCATGTCTCAGCTAAACCATTCAAGTAAAGAGCATTGGCCTCTCATTTTTCATTCTCAGTTGTTCTATACAGGTTAAAATACCTCTTACATTTTGAAGTCATACCTTAGGTTTCGGGCCTTCAAGGATGGGTAGCTCACATTCAGGAGGAGGAATGAAAACCATCTGGAGCCTGTTATATCGATTATGCTAAGCTGGAATGGGAAGGATGCCATCTCCTTGTTGTTGGTCACTTGGAGCTCGAGGATACATGTATGGTTTAATACATCTCTAAGAAAAATAGGAAAGAATATAATTAAGTGATGGTACATGCACTAAATTAGGTATATGATTATTTAGATATAATAGTCCTTTTCTTAAGGCAAAATGTAAGTTGGTAGAAGTTCACTTCTCTTCAAAGAGAATCATTTAATTGAGAAAGCAAGTAAAAGTGAAGTAAAAAATCAGTTTCTCTACTTGTCTTCTAGAATGAATTAGAGTGACTAAGAGTGTTGCTTCTCCCGAATTTCCAACTTGTCCAATTTTCGAATACCATTTTTCACTTTAAAATATTTTTTTACAAATTTCACAATTTTCATAGCTAAACGGGTGGCCGGGGTGCTAAACAAATTAGAATGGAATGAATTTTTTTTCATTTTATTGGGGAATCTTTCTATTTTATTTTCTCTTTTTCTTTTGCTTGGGAAAATCTTTTTCCCTCAATAGTTCATACTCGGCATTCAACAATTACTTCTCTAAGTTTCACTATGTTTAAGAGGGTACAGGAGAGATTTATAATTTGAACAGAGCAGAGTTTTTAAATTTCATTTTATAGGGTAGTCTTCTATTTTCTTGTTGTTTCTTTTTGTTTTGCTTGGAAAAATATTATTGCTCGATTAGCTTCATACCCAGAATGTGTTTGTAATATATATATATATATATATATATATATATATGCAAATCCAAGATTTGAAGATTTTGGGTATACCAATATTGTTTTAACTACTTTCTATGTACGTGTATTCAATATTAATTAGTATAAAAACATTTTAAAGTAATAATATTATTAGAACATGTGTGATGAGTTACACATAACGTCTAGAGGCCAAAAATAATGTTAGTTGAAAGTTGAAACTGATGAATAGATTGATAAAAAATTAAATCAAAGAAGTCCAATATAAAGAAAACACATAAAGTAATCTTAGAAGAAAAAAATATATAACATACACATCATTTTTAAGACTTTAAGCATAACAATTTAGAGGGAAAAAATACATAATTTTTCGAATTCTTGTCGACAATTTCTTCCATAACCAATCGAAATAGAAGAGTCTTCTTCATTGAGTCAAACTAAATTATGAATCAATTATTACAATAATGATATAAGCGCTTCATTGCTTTGATTATAGAATGAAAAGGATGACCTTGGGTAGGGGTCTCATGAAATTAAAAAATGAATTTATATAGATAAAAATGTTGGAATACCAAAAGACATCTTAAAGTTTCAAATTAAATATTTGAAGGTTATGAATATGAAAAGCATGAAATTTTTGAATATTAAAAAATAGCAATTGAATAGATAATTAGATATGAGTCATGAAGGTGAATGTTTAAAACAAATAAGAAAGTAAAATAATAAATAAATGAATAAGAGAAAAAGATTAGTCAAAATGTCTACTTTTTTTTTTTTCAATTTGAGAACTTGTTCAATTTGAAAAGAATAACAACATAAATCAATAAGGAAATAACAAAAATATACTTTAATCTTGAAATAAAAAATATGCGCATTTATACAAAATTACTTGGTAGGCAACATATGGTACAATCTAAACATTTATTATTAATTCCTACATTGGGCTCTTCATTGTATTAGTGACTGTTCAAAAACATATCAATTTAATTTTAAAATGGAAAAAAAATGCTCTCTTAAAAGGGTGTCACATCACTTTGATATATATAAATTGTGTTTAAGTATGTTAAAGGAGAGAAATGAAAATAATAACAAAAAGTTTTTAATGTAACTAATTTAATTTTTAAAAGGGTGAAAATGTGTAGCAACTTTCTATGGATATTTTCCTCTTTCAACTTTTGACTTACCATTTTCCCACATTTAGCATTTTAATATAATAAGATATGATTATTATTTAATATTTAATTAATTAAATATTTATAATATTTTAATTTAGTAGAGGGGTTAAATGATAATCCAACCTTGCATTTATTAGAGAATAAAAAGACCATCAATTTCTAAGAGATGTTATTCCAATCGACAGATGTAATGCCTAAAAGGTGCAGCAATAAATAAAATTTGTATAACTTCTCTAAAATAGTGAA